GGGGGGGGCAAGGTGACAATGCTCCCCCCATATCCAACAATTTTTGTTGTATCAGCCGGATCGTTGATCAGGAGGTCCTACAGTTTGAGTCCTGATGGTGGCAAATTTTCAACACTAGGTGAATAGCTAGGTTGAATTCAACCACTGCTTGGAGGAGAATTTTAATGGTCAGCTGCTCTGGTTTACTACTTCCATTGTCTCTGCTGTCAATACCAGGTGAATGCTGGGGGTAGTACTTTGCAAAATGGCCATGAGCTGCATGTGATCTTCCCTTGTACTTTCTCATCCCCTCTCCTTCACACACACATGCACGGACATGCCACACACCCACACACATTTACATTTACTACACTACCACTCGTGTCAAAAGACCTGTCCAGAGTTTAGAGCTTATCCACACTGGGTGACACCTCCGAGGGAGATGCCTGGAAGAGGAATAAACCCACAAGATGTGAAGGTCAGCACTAGACCTCACATTCCATCAGGGGAGGACCACTGCCACCTTCTGGGATATATCATGCACCACACTTATGGGACAAATAATCTAAGTTATTGATGCACCTGGGAACTATACTTAAACCAAATATGTTTGCAATTGAACTGAATTTAATGCAATTAACTCAAAAAACAAGTGTCATTTATTAATTCCATCACATTTCAAAATAGTATTTCTATTAAGCCCGAGCAGGTGGGTTATCATGAGTAGATTTCGAATCCTTCATTCTTGACAATGGTGTATATTTCTCAGAGGAGGCAGGAAGTATGATATGACAATGCCCTTTAAGGAATGTTGGTTAGCTTTTAATCATGTTACACATGAACTGTATAACAGATTAGCTAGCATGTGATTGTGACTACTACTGCTTGTCAAATATATGTTCATCCTCGATTGCAAATGGTACAAAATTTCGGAGAATGATGGAATTCGATCATTTGACAATAGTGAAGTTTGACAATTCACAACATAGGTCCCCAGGTAGTAGAAGTGCAGTATTACTCTGCTTGGTTTCACAGAAAGACAATTTCAGGAGCATTTATTTGCAAACTCATTTTTTGTTTCAATGTCAATACATGTTTAAATGTCAAAATATTAAAATGTAATGAGAGAGAGGAGAGAGGAGGAGAGAGGAGAGAGGAGAGAAAAGGAGAGAGAAAGAGAAAGAGGAAGAATGCAAGTGAAATAATTATTTTTATTTCTTTGTCTTTTAAATCAGTAACCATTTGCGGGTTTTAATATTTTGAAGAATTCAAATAATGAAGAATTATCAGTTTTTTAACATTTATAAGTAGAAAAATATTAAGAAAAAGTGTCATTAAATTTTATGGTGAAGTACTTGCATTGCTGGTTGATCAACCATTTATTCAACAGACATTATCATCAGATTTTCAAAATATACCTGAGCATTTTCAGTCCTGAAGCCACAACTCGTGAGTCATCACTTGGGACATGGCTCTTGAGGAACTTGTTGAGGTCACCATGCTCCAAGTACTCCATGGCCACACACAGGGGCTCCTCACGGCTGCACATTCCCAATACTCGAGCAATGTTTACATCCTCCAAAGCAGCAAGAATGCGAACATCTCGATGGAAGTCAAGCCTAAGGGGGCAAACAATTCAACACGCTTTTTAATTAACATGCAAACACAATCAGAAACAATCTTGTTAACCTCTATCCCTACGTAGTATTAAGAGATAAAAAAGCAGTTATCCAGAGATTTGCTTTTCATCATACTTTCTAATAAAAAAAAGCAAACATTTTGCATTTGCATCTCACAAGAGAGTTGTTGAAAATTTATGAGCTTAGGAAGACAATTCAAATTTTAACACACCTCGTTTATAGTGTAGGTTACTGGCTGTCAAGTTTGTTTTATTTCATTGAGATGTTTTACTGCTATTTAATTTCTAAGCACTAAATTGATAATCTGCTGAAGAATGCAAAATATTTGCTTTCTGTATTAGAAAGGGAGAATAAGTGAATAATGTGAGTTATTCGGTCATCCCTGTGACCTACTATTGCTATTTCTTAACCAGTCGTGGCACGTGGGTTTCTAAATATGGAAAGCTGCAAATGCATTGCGTTGCATTTGCATTGCATACATGTATTTATGTGCATAATCTCTTCTGATACAGGCATAAGGGAGTAGCACTCCTACCACGCATTGGGAAAACTAGTTGATGCTTAATGCAACTTTTTGAGCTGTGTAGTAATGCTATCAGGTGAGCACACACTTCTTCATGTCCTAGGCCCCACCCTTGAAGGCTGCCTGTCTGCAGCCATCGTCTGCCAGTAAGCCTGTGGAGTGAATGCATGACATCACGCCTCCTCGTTTTACACAGGCAGAATGAAATGGGAGCCTAACACTTTTCTCTTCCCTATTCAAATGCATTACAGATGGTCGATATTGAACTGACAAAGAAAAAAATTGTTATAATTGTTACATCATATAACTCAGAAATTCATTATTAATAAATTCATTTATAAATATATTTTAAAATTACTTTTGGGGAGAATTTCTATAGGAAAGGCTCTGTCTTACAGCCTTCAATGACAAGCTGCGAGGGGAATTTTCTTCTTCTAAATACAAAAAAACTAGACATCAAATGTTTAGGAAAGTGCCTATTTTATTGTAATATTAGAAGTGGTCCTCTACATGATTCATGATTATGTGCATGAATTATGATAAATGAAATATTTTGACAAAGTTTTATTTTCCCTTTTTTTCCACATGTATTTTTCAGGTATACTTTTTTCTATTTTTTATTTTTTAAATAAAAAAAAAATGTTGTGTCATTGTTGGCACAACGCATCTCTTTAACACTTGCTGGGTGTTGAGTGCTTTGCTTGGAGTAATTACAAAAATTTCTATGTAGGTTCCGATAGGTGGTTAATGTGAGGGGTGGTCTTTTAGCATGGGTATGATTTACATACCTTATATGGATTTCAGAGTCTGTTCCAAAAATAAATGGGTATTTGAGAGAGGTGGTTATTTAATAGTGATGATCTTTCAGAGAGATTTCACTGCAATGGTGTTACACTTATATAGTGTTATTGGAAATACGGGCAAAGTTATGTGTAGTAACTTCAAGTACTAATACTCAATAAAAAATTAAAACATTTCTTGAAAAGTTCTTATAACCTAATTAAATTATTAATTTTTACAATAAATTATGAGGACATTTCCAAAAGTAGGCATCAATTGATGAAGAATGTGTATTTTATATCCCAGATCAGATATTTCAAAATTTAATAACACATTGTCTTTAGAGAAATATATCAAGAGGTGTATCCTGCAATGGTTAAATTAGAACACAATTTAACAAATTATGAACATACAAAATACTATTCTAACAATATTCAAAATGTTAACTTCAAGATTTAAAAAACTCAATTCTACAATATCTGGAAATGCAAGCTTTGCTTGTGTGAACTCAATGGGTTCAATATTACCTACAATAATTAAAACATCATCATCAACAGTAGTAGGTTTTAGGTCCCACGACTTGTTTCCAGTATTCCCTTTTACTAGTTAAGGTTTTTTGCCAGTTTTGTCTCAATATCTTCCTCTCTTAATTATATTTTGTTGCCTAGATATATGAAGGTTGCTACTTGTTCAATTATTTGACGTTCAATTACAATTTTTACTCAACAGTAATATTTTCTTGCTATTCCTATTGCCTTGGTTCTTCCTATTGATATTTTCATTTTGTATTATTTTGCTAGGCTCATGGCTAGCTCTTGGATTCTTACTTGCAGGGGAAAAAATTCCTCTGAAATCAATCTTCTGTCTAGTAATGGTGGGAAACTTATAAACAGGTATCTTACATGTAGGAAGAAAAAGCCCAAAATTTATACATTCAGACTCGAACCAGACAATATTGTTACTTACAAACGGGATTCGCTTATAACAGGGTTCTACTGAAATTTTATGTCCTCTAAAGTGAAGCAAATCACAGAATGATAACAACTTACTCAATTCTGTTCTCTAGCACAATTATTTCCCATCAGTATCATTTATATTTATTATTAGAATGATCTATAGAACATTTACATAATATCTGAAGTATATTAAATTATATACATCAACAAGATCACTGATTTTCAGATCATCCAAATGGTTCTTACTTTTCTCTTTCTGTGGCATCCTGTAGTAAAAACTTGACAGCAACAAGCCTCTTCCCTAAAGTTGTTGCTCCTCCATATTCTGGTATGCCATCTGCCTCTGCCACATACACCGAACCAAAGGCACCTTCCGCCAACTTGGAAAGCATACGCAGCCGGTGCCGGGGGAACTGAGGCACTGCTGTCTGCTCCAACCGGCGTTTTAGAGCACTAAGAACCTCATGCTGACTGGGCGACTTCTTGCCTCGGGAGTCTTCACTGCGGCTGCCCTTGGAAGAACCGCGAGAAAATACACTATCTTTGTCGCTTGTTCCAGGCAGAGGCACGGATGTTTGCTCTGGGCTTAGGAGTGGCACTGCACCCATTTCAGGGACAGCATAATCATAGGATGTATCTGGAATGAAGAAAGTACACAAATTATTATTTTCTCGCATAGAGGTGCACAGCCTAAAACACAAATAGGGAACAAATAAATTTTTGGGCCCCTATGGGCCCCCTTTTCCATTATTTTTTTCTAGAGTTGTCTATTTCCTATACTAAGTCTTCAGTTTTTAGTTTCTTTCTAATGTCTCTGTTTCTCAGTCTGTCCTTTCTTGCAACTCCTACCATGTGTTACATAAATCTCATATGTGCTGCTTGTATTTTTTGTTTCTCTCTTTCATTATCCATGGCTCAGAGCCATACGTAGTTATAGGTTTAGCCATTATATTGGGAATTTTTAGTTTTGTTTTTCATCCATGTCCCTGCCAAAGTGTCATTTAATTGTTCCACAGATTCTGTTGTATTTATACAATTTATTTTCTAAGTACTCCTGGATGTGGTTAAATACATATAAGATATTTCCAAGATATGAAAATTTGTTGACTTGTTCCACTATTTCTCCATTTATTACAATTTTGGCTCTCTTCTGTTCTTTGCCTTGCAATGACAACTTTTGTTTTCGAACTGATATTTTCATACAATATTTCAGGGCCTTTTTTATCAGTTTAAAAATTGCTCTTTGTAGATCATCTTCATAATCTGTTATGATTGATTGATCGTAAGCATGTAAGATTGTATCCATCTTTTTGCCTTTCCTGATTTGGATACCCTGATAAAGAGAGTAAGCGACAGACCGCATCCCTGTCTTACGCCATTGCTGGTTGTTATAGTTGCAGACTTTCTCCTGTCTCTCAACATTATTTTAATGTTGGAGTTTTCATATAAACTCTGGATCACATTGAGTAATTGATTTGGAATTTTCTCCTCTTTCACTATTTTCCGGAGTTTACTCTGTCGTATATCTATGAATATTATGAAAGTTGGTAAGTTTCTGTCTTGTCTTTTATCTATTATCATCTGTAATGTGAAGATGGCATCTTTAGTGCTCCTTCCCTTTCAGAACCCACACTGTTTTTCTCCCATCAAATTTTCAGCTATTACATTGAGTCTGTTTCATCTCTTTGAATAAAGTTTTGATGCTGTTGATAATAGTGTGATACCCCTATACTTGTCGCAGCTTTTCTTTGAGCCCTTTTCATGAATATTCATGACCAAACCTTCTTGCCATTCTATTGGTATTTTCCTCTCTTGCCATACTTTATTAAAAAGTTCCGGTAATATTTCTTTTAGTTCATTTCCTCCATACTTTATAAGTTATTTTATAAGTTGATTTCATCTGATCCGGGGCTTTTCCTATTTTTTATTTTCCTTAATACTGTCTCTAGTTCTTCAATCTTCAAGGTGGTGTCCATATCATCATTGTCACTATTGTTATCTATTTCCTCTAAATCTTTGTTCTAGTATCTAGATTCTTCCATAGGGTGGAGTAGTGTTTTATCTAGTTCTCTTCCAAGATGCAGTCTAGTGTGATTTTGTCTTTCACGTTCATGTGCAGCATTTTCAAAAATTTAATTCCCATTTGTTGGGGACCAGAGATGTCTCTTTCTATACTTTTGATAAATTTTCTCCAGCCTTCTTATTTGTGTATTCTGCTTATACATCTTACTTTGGCACTTAGTTTTTTATATTTAATGTAATGTTTTACTGTTATTTTCTGAAGGTAAGATCTATATGCTTGTTTCTTTTAATTTACACTCTTTTTCATTGTCCCATGTTCTCAACAATTTTATTTTCATGACTGGTTTGTAACCTACACTCTCTTGCCCTGCTTCAAATATTGCTTGTTTAAGTGAAGTCCAAAAAGTTTCCATATTTTGTTTCTCTACCATTTGTAATTTTCCCCTTAATCTTCTTTTATATAGTGTTCTGATGTTTTCATATTCTAGAAGGTATATCTTGAGTTTAAGTTGGTGAAATATTCTTTTTTAAAATAATTTTTTTTCCTAAATGTAGTAAATTACTTCCTCTAACACATTGTTAAGCCACAATCCATGTTTTGTGGGTCCTTGATAATAAATAATTGATTGACAACAAAATGTCTCTCCATCAGTGGTCAACACTAGTGCCTAAATCTTTCATATTATTTTATCCAAAACTGATATTCTCTGATCGATCCAAATCAACTTGAAGCCCTGTGAGTTTAAAACGAATGTTTTTATTTTTAGGGGTACTTTACATAAAGCCTCAACAATTTCAAAATTTTCTCAAAAATTACTCCAAATTTTTTTATTAAATTTTGTTCTCATTAGCGTAAAGACTTCTTAAAATAATGGAGCAGAATTCATTTTTATTCCCTGATTTTTTGAAAATAACAAATGTTCAAAATTTTTTCAGTGTCTCCCTACAAATACAATATTCAAAATAGAGATTTTGACCTTAATCTGTTTTTCAAAGATAGATTTTGAAATAAGGCCCTATAAAAATTTTCAAAATTATGAGTATTTTTTTGTGAAATTGAGGCAATTTTTAAACAATTATTTTCTCTAAAATGGCTGCAATTTTTTTCTTTAAATTTTCTTCTTGTATATATCAAAGAATGCTTAAAAAAATACCCAATTTTGGCAAACTATTAAAGTTGTAAAAAAACAATATTGAAGATTGTGATTTTTGTTTTAAATGAAAAATCAAATCTTTAAAAAGTTAATGTTCAAGTTTCAGGAAAAAAAATAGTTTTGCAAAATTTCTGTTTAAAGTTAATTAAAAAAAAAAAAAAAAATTCAACAATGACTCGAAAAGTTTTCCTCGGAAAGAGCGAAAGATATTTAAAAAATTGGCGCAGGTCTCACTTTCATTGAACTCTCTGAATTTTCAAAAATTACGAATGTTAGAAATAATGTGATAAAGGATGTGCTGTTGTAGCACCGTTAGTTGTTTTTTTTATGGAAAAAAGAAGAAAAGAAAGAGAAAAAAGGTTCTCTAAAGAGAAGAAAAGCTGCCACAGAATTTCCTGTAACAAAGATGTCGGCCAGAAATTACTTGCACTGAAGGGGTGACGGGGTTTTTAATGAATTGCATTAATATAGAGAAAAATTACAAAAAAACCTGTAATAAGATAATTTCAAAATTTGCCTCTGTTTACATGTTTGACAAATAAAGATCTATACTGCACTCTCAACCATGAAACCTTTCTTGGGGTACTGGCATATTGCAAGTGATTTATTTCTGTCTGTATTTTTCTATGCAGTGGCACCTCTGACATTACCTCCATCATAACTTCAGGTTTTAACATCTAATATTCACAGTTAGTTCAAGAAAAACAGTGATTGAAATTAGTTGTGTGTACGGATGGTGTTTGGGTAAACCAGTTCCCCACATTACTATTCATATGACTTTCAGAAATTGCACTTTTTTTATATCAAGGACTCCAAAACATGAAATTTTATTATACCACATACATGAAGAAGAAATACTGCATATACGAGCAAGAAAACTACACTTTTTTGGTATCAGACATTCACAGATTCTATTTTCTATAAGAAATTTGCACTTTTCCCTGGGGAATTACAATTTTTTCTCTATAGGATTTCTTTTTTTCTCTATAGGATTTCAAGAAAACAATATTAAGCCTTGAGTACAAAAATTTTGTTTAAATTGACATTTTTATACTCTTTGAGATCAAATAAATAATCTGTAGTGTAAAAGACCATTACTCTCCAAAATTAAGCATATGAGTGCTCTATAAAGTTAACTCACCTGAGGGCACAGCAGAACCTTTGCTTAGAGCATCTCTCATCTCCATTACAACTGCACTGTAGCTATAGTATGGTGCATATTTTAAGGCTTGGTAAGGCTCCTGGTAATCATCAAGCTTCACATCCAGCATATGCTCTAATAACAGATCTGCTGGAGGAGGTGGTGGTGGAGGGGGTGGAGGGGGCTGTAATGGTAGAGTGCCAGCCCCATATCCATCTTCTACTGAGCTTCCACCATATGATGCAGCAAAAGCAGATCCTTTATCGCCTGAGTTAGAACAACCAGAATGTGCTGCCAAAGTTGGTTTGGCTGCTAACGGACTGGCAAAACATTTTCGTTGTCGATGACGGGATACAATAAGGTAGATGGCTACAGCTAAGAGGAATATCACTGCCATCAGAACCCCAATGACAACAGCCATGTATGTATGGTCCTCTTCCTTGGCAGTGGATACTGTAAACATAAACTATATATTAATGTCTAAATTTAAAATAAAACAAATTAGAAACAACCTAATTATTATACTTCATACTGTTTACATACAACTTTCCCTAGATGTAATAACAATGTACCATTATGTGAATTTAAGAAGTAAATTAATATCTATTATATATACAAAAGTAAACATACAAGCACACTCAACCTTTCTTTTCAATAAAATGCCAATTTGAAAACTCTGGATTATCATAAAAGTGAAATTACTCATTAAAAATAAATGATAATGGAAAAAAAAAAAAAAAAAAAAAAAAAAAATGTTACTACTAGTTTAACTCCACTCAACAATATTTTCTCAAAGTTTATATCATCCCTGATAAAACTTATTGTTGGATGTCCAAGAAATATTTTTCATCTCTCAAGAGTATCCTGCATTATTCTGGAAATTTTAATGTTTCAGAACAAAATTTTGTAACTAACATTTCATGTGTATCTGTGTTTTTCCTCCAGATTATATATGTATAAATGTGTGTGTGTGTGTGTGTGTATAATCAGATGTATCTCCAAACACTGAAGCAAGGAGGAAAAAACTGAAGGCAAAGGAAGAATTTCAAGATGAGCTCAAAGCATCAACAGACAACTTTGAGGACCTTTAATTACAATTTGAGGATTATTTTCTTGCAATCTTAAAGTGTTAAATTAGACTGAACAGAATTTGAGCAGTAAATATGTTTCTGAATAAAACAAAGCAAGAAGATATTATTTATGGATTCAGACACTAAACTAAGTATTTCAGTATTTACAGATTCAGACATTAAACTAATCAGAATCCCACAGATCCTAAATTTAATAAGGATTAACGCCCGAAAATTAAAATACAAAAACATTACTCACCAGGTACCTCACTGGCTGGTCCAGCAGGGCTTTTGCGTTCCACATACACATCACTTTGCAGAGGAGGCTCTTGTGCAGGTGCCACTTCTGGGCTGAAGTTGCCATGCGCAATGTCTAGAAAACAAAAATTTCTTTTAAACAATTGACATCTTGACTTATGATCATATTTTAATTTAAATAATTTCAATTTTATAGATAATTTTCAAAACTTGGCTCATGAATTTACATAATTCTAAGTATTTTACTTGATGTTATCATAGCTTTTTATAAATAAATGTTTTTGAGTTAATTAGTATATGTAAATTCTTGACTTTCGCGATATCTGGAAAAATCTTGGCTCATAATTACTCATTATAGCAAAACAACAGTTTAAGACAAACTAGTTTTGGCACCTTTGGCACTAACTTAAGCAGGAATGTGCAGCACCATTGAAATATTATTTTTGTGTGTAAAACCATATGAAAAGTAGGGTAATAACCTAAAACATTTAATAGAGTATTTTTTCTTGAATTGGAATACATTTCTACTAAGAAAAATATTTAAGCTCACAGGAGTAAAATGATAAAGATATGAAATTAGGTCTTGTCAACTTATAACTTTGGCTTTGAATGAACACTTGTAGTTAAAATTATCATTATCCAATGTAGTTTAGTTTATCATTATACATCTTAGTGGCTAAGGCAACAATGATAAATAAAATTTCATAAGAAACCTATATTGCTAATTACCAATGCATGCAGAAACTGAAAGAAAATTATGCAATCCCCAACCGTGCAAAAAGTGTCTGTGGTTTTCTCAGAGGGGGAGGGGGGAGAACAAATGAACTGAGTTTTGATTTTGTCTGAAAAATGAAAATATTTGATTGTGTTATTCCACTTTGCTTATAAGGTACACAACAAATTAAGGAAAAAATATAGCCGTTTTCGAGAAAACGGCATTTCAGCACTTCTGAAAATTCACAATTTTGTGCTTATTTTCACTTTTTTTTTTACTTTTTGAGAAACGTCATACAACATCATGTAAAGCCTTTGTACTCACAAATGCAATAAAATATACAAATCCCCAGTAAAGTCAATATTAACGACTGGAGAGAGAGAGAGATAAAAAAAATTGTGTATTTTTTGAAAGAAGGAAAAAACAAGAAAAAACGAATACCGCGAAATGATGTTTGTGTAATCGGTAACAGTGCATTTAGCACTATCCCTATTAACATTTTCTCCATGTGGCTCACCGTTTTCTCTCAAAATGGCTCCACATTTTTTCTTTAAATTTCTAGGAACAAAAGTCGATAAGGACGCAAGTTAAAATATGAATAAAAGTAGACTCAACTTTAAATAAAAAGCGTGAGTAGGAAGTGACCTGCATTAGAAGCAGTGAAAAAGAAAATGAACAAGTTTTTTATTGGCACACGTAAGACATATCCGTGCTTAAGAATCTATCTGTCAGGAGGAGCCACTTGAAAGGCGGGGAATATGATTCGCGGGGGAGAACGTGCTCGGCCATAGTGGACTTCGGATGTGGAGTCAGTAGCGCAGTATTATCACAGAATAATCCGTTGTCTGTGATGAATTAGTGTAAAGAGGATCGGGAGGTGTATCTAAGTACGTGAATAATTAATTAGTTAGGGTAATGGATTTTAAAGACTGTAGTTTCAGAACGACGGATGTAAGTTATAACGTGAAATTTGGCCGAAGCAAGAAGATGGCGGACTTTCATCAAGAATTGGGCCAAGAATGCTGTGGGCAACCAAAAGGAAAGTGTATAAACATTAAATAAATCATGTAAGAAGCCGAAGTTCTGTTAAATTTAGATGTAAGAAATATTCATTAGAGAGAATCGGAAGTAGCATGGCCATGAAAAGTAACAAATATTGGACGAATGATGAATTATGTGAGTGTATTGCAAATATAGTATGAAAGACAGAATTTTATTGTATTGTCATAGTTGTTATTTATGTTTCTTCGTAGCGGCAACAGTGGAGCTGCGAAATTGGGTAATGTATAACAGTTAAAGCAAATTTATAATAATTCAGCCCGATGAAGTGTTTTATTCACGTAATTCAAAATGGATGAGAACAATCCTACGTAAAGTTTCATAATTTGAAATCCCGTATGGACAAATCTGTCGGCTCACGTATTATATTTCTTCTTAGACCTATGAGCGAATCCACTCTGGAAACTTAATGTGAGAAATAATAAATTGGGAAATAATAGTAATAAAATACTGAGTTAGGCCGGGGCAGACGGAAAAATCGCTAGATTTTTAAATAAGTAAAATTATAAGTAAATAAATTAAAAGTAGTAAAATTTGGAGTAAGAGAGGGAAGTGAGTCTCATTAATAAAAAGGAATGCAAAGTGGAGATATACTTCGATTTTTTAAAGTGGTCTTTTTAATTAATTAATTCCTGAACGTCCTGGTCAACGGGCTCGTAGCCTCAGATATGTGCTGTTAAAAAGATTCATTTTATAACGCAGGAGGTGTAACAATAACCTAATGTCATCGGCCACTAAAAAAATCGAAGTATATCTAATGCGCATTAGATTCGCGTAAATACCCTATTGATGCTGTTATTGTAATAATAAAGTCATTTCCTTGTACAAAATGATGCCTCATAAATATTTTCTAATGCTTGGTTAAGTACTTCACTGTAATAAATCGGGCAAATATTGTTCGCCAGGGAACATTTTTTAAAACTGCACCGGATATATAATTCTAGGCGACAATCTGTGATGATCTTTATAATTTCGAAGAGGTGATCACAAATGCATAAAGAAGTATAGGTAACAAAAAAATTCTTGTTTGTAAATAAAATAATTGCTAATTGAAACAATTTACTTGCGAGTGTTTTGGTGGTTTTATCCTTTTCTTTTTGTATTTTCGGTGGTCTTTCATGTACACTTAATAATATATCTGAGATGTCTAGCACCGTTTCTGATAGTTCATTTCTTTTGTTATACATTTTATGTTTTACTGTCCTATCTGTTAAGGACTTGTTTACTTTTGTAAATCTATGTTTTTCTTTCATTGACATAAAACTGTCATAGCGATATAATTCATTGCAGAAATTTAATGTTCAGTATTAAATGTCTTTGGAAATGAGATGTTTCTAAACCAAAAGTAAACTTATACAACGAGAGAGCGATTATCCAACGAGAGAACGGGTAGGCAGTCGCTAATTAGCTGCAAGTTCATAATACACATTCTTCCTCGAACTTTTTAAAGTAAACGCGTAATAAAATAGTTGAGTCAAAATCATGTAAATGCTCATAATATACTGTATAAAATCAGGTGTAATTTTATACTTATTTGAGACCAAATAAGTGTAAATTTACATTATATGATATGTGTTACTTGAAACGAGAAGTATAAACGAAGATGCATACCAAGCAAATCAGTAGTTTTGAAGTAATGGCGGACCGCTTGACACGTGTGCAAAATATGAGGTTTGCAGAACGAATAAACGTGACGTGTGGATTGAGTACATTTGTGTACCAATCGAGCATTTTTCATTTAAGTGCCATGACAACAATCATCTCCATAGCCATCACCTGAAATTGTATTCGCGAGAAAAGCCGACAGAATGTGGCGAAACAACTTATTTTAGCCGATCCGGTGGCCGAGATCGCTAAGGCAGTAGTGCCGTAGCGAACTCGGACCGAAGGATCGCGGGTTTGAGTCCCGCCTCGGGCATGGTTGTATTGTGTTTCGTCCTTTCACCCCCTATCATCATCATTATCGTGTCAACCCACAGTTACCATACCGTTACAAGCAATAGTGGTCGCTAATGACCTAGTAGTTGATGCGACCTTAAATAAAAAAAAAACTTATTTTAAATGTGTTCAATTCATTACCCAAGAAGAATATGGAATTTGCATTTGATAGACGATAAAGCCATTGTCACATTCAGAATGAATGATTTTTTCCTCTCTCGTGTAAGTACGAATAAGTTTCATAAATTACTGCAATGCTGTACTATTCCGGGTTATCAAGCAGTCGTCCGTTTCCCTTAGTCATCCTGGACATTGTGATACAAGGGTATAGAAGAATACGCCTAAGAATGAGCGAAAATGACAATTCGCAAACAAGTGAACATCACATGAAATTCAGAGACGTATCCCTTCGCCGCGATAGCTCTTTCGGAAAGTGTTTATGACTTCCGTTAAGACATTATGGATTCTTATGGTTCACAACCGTGTAATTACATTAAAAATCAATATATAACGCAAACACGGAACCACGAAACACTCTCGATCACAGCTCGCCACTTTACAGAACATGAGCCGGAAACACCTGCACCAGTACGCATCTTACATCCAAGACTCGGTTTTAAAACAAACATTATACGTATCAAACAAAAAGTAAATTCAATATAAGATTGATAAAAAAAGAAGTTTTACAGAAGAGCACATAGCACTGTAATTCCTAATTTCAATTATTTCTCGTGGCGCTCTACATTCTCGTCGAACGAGGACATCACAAAAGGAAGCGTCGAAGCCTTTTACAAGTTAGCGAACGAAGGGAGGAAGGAGAGTCCACTGGACTCAAGCACACAACGATCATAGAACCTTCAGTTCTGTTGCCAGCACTAGCTGTCAAAACGGTCCTTTCTAACAAAAATCACTCTATTTTGTGCGACGTGTGGATGAATAATATTCGAGACTGTCCACAGCCAGTGGTGATAGCGGAGTGCTGATGGCTGGTAAGATGACAGTTTAGAGGCCCCGACCATGCGCTTCAGCGCAGGATACATTCCGGTTTGTCGACATTCACTCCAGTCTCGTGTTGGATAAAGCGGAGCTTGAAACAATTCAGGATTATAAGAAATAGTTTACGAAGACCGGAACCGGTACGGAACAAGTACGTCTGCAATAAAACCCTATTCCGGGAAAAGATTTTTATCTCTTTTGCGCTACTTTTTCGGTCATTCACAATTATTTGAGCTAAAAACACGGTATATTGAAACATTTTGAATTTTATTATGTCGAGTCTGGATCTATGAAGCTAGGTGACAAAGTTGAGGAAATATAGAAATGAAGAAAAATGTTGCATGGAAAAAACGTTTTCCAAATTAGAGAAATTAATTGCTGAAGAACTTTTCATGTTCACAGTATTTTCAGAATTCGCACGACCACTTCCATGAACCTGTCGTTTTACTTCAAGTGACCTTTTCCGTTGGTAACTCGTTTCACATTGCGTGGCCTTTACGAACAAGCTTATCGGACCGACCGCACATGCGCATTCATTCGTACCTGAAACACGTGAAGTGAAGAAAACATAATTTTCATTTCCCTTCTAGTCACGACGAAGGAGAATTTCACTTGCCCTATCAGTTATTAATTACACCACTTTATATTCCGTTTTGGTTTATAACTCACTAAAGAGAACCATCACTCGTGGAATGAAAAACCCATACCCTTACTTCGTTATTTCTATTTCTAAATAGAGGTTATCATTTGTTCAATATAGACGAGAGAAAATGAGATGTGCGGTAATTTTAAGCGTTCTTTGTTGTATATTAGAAAAAATGTCGTGCCGTTTTCCAAAACGTCTTGTTTTTAAATTTGCTTATATTTCATTCAAAATTATGACAAAACTCATATTTTCGAAAGTTCTTAAACTTTTTAAAAGACGAAATTTTTTAGAACAGATTGAAAAAATCTCTATCATTAATATTGTAGTTTCGCAATGCAATTTTTTAAATTTTTTCTATAAGAATTTATCAAAAATGGGACCTACGCTGTTTTTATTTGCTGTATTTGAAATTAAATAATTAAAGAAATATAGGCAATTCCCAAAAGGCATGAAATGTTTGGCACATAAAATAGTGACCATTCCTCATTATGAAACTGAATGAGAAATACCTACAAGCAAACTTCTCCGGCACAGAATGCTACGGGCAGTTATGAGATTGTTATGGGTCTTGTTAAATAGAATGCAAAGGGCTTAATTTGTTCATACAATATCGTACACGATTATGAATAAATAGTGTTTGTTATTTTGGTATTAAAAATATATAATGCACTCTTGGTAGAAATTAGAGCAGAAAGAAATCTATTATTTTTTAAGAATAATATTTTTAGCTTCGATAGAACCATCTTAATCATTTGAATATAGTTAATGAAGAGATAAATTATTACTGTCATCATCAAACAAAAACGATTCAATATTAGAATTTTGTGTTTAGCACCACACTAAATTTGTACTTACAACGTAGCAAAGCGGATTACATTATCAGCCCTACAAGCAATTATAACACTTGGTGTTCAAATCGAATATGTATGTCTAAATCGTTTTAGATTCGTATCTCTCGCGGATTGCTACTTTAATCTAAGCGCTACAGTTCGAATGGCTCATTCTCATTGATGGTCCCAATTCCTAGAATGAGTACCATCCCCATCTCTTCTAGCTTGCTGCATTTGCACTCGAGTGGCTCCCGCGCGGCTCGCGAGGTCAGTGAAAGTGCAAAATGCTGTGCGGGCCTGGACTACGTTAACAACAAAGCTGCCCAAGGCGGGGCATCTCACTCACCCGAGTCGAAGGTGACCTCGCTCAGCATGATCCACTTGGCCGCGAAGTGTAGCTGCAGCTTGACGAAGCGGCCGACGCGGTGGTGCAGCTTGATGGAGATGTTGCGCGAGCTCTCGAAGATGCGGTCCTCGATGTAGGTGTAGGTGATGGGCTCGCCCGAGAAGAACTTGCCGCCGACGCTGAAGAGGATGTTGGCCTCGGAGAAGACCTGCACGTCCCGCGTGAACTGGTTGTTGCAATAGAGGTGCACGGCGGTGAACTCGCGCACGCGGTCGAACTCGAACTTGATCTCGACGGGCTGGCCGCCGCGCGAGTCGTTGCGCCATCCGACCCAGCCTTGGCCTGGAACACACCCACGCTCCGTTAGCACGCTCACTTCCTTACCTAACATCATCATCATTGGACGTAACTCTCCAATCAACACCAGGCGAATGCCGGAGCAGTTCCCTAACCGACGGGCCAGGGACAGCGCGCGATCTTTCCTTTTCTTTCCTTGCCTTATCCTCACTCCTTACATACACACCCACTTACACATTCATGCATTACACTAACATACATGTGGGAGACCAGTCGGGAGCAAAGAGCTGGGGTGACTGGCGGGAAATTCCTAGTCGGGGAAACCTCTCAAGTCGACTTGTAGGTCGGCGCCGGATATCGCCATTCAGATGGGGTATATCTCTGACAGCTCCCACGATAAAAACTTGCGATCAGTGGGAGATGTGTCATTTGACGGTGTGAGGGTTCTCTCAGCCCTAAGAATGAGGGAATGGGGATAGGATAGGGAAGGAAGGATCTCGCGTTTTTTAAGGCGCTGCTTCGGAATGCGCCTGGCGAGATCACGCCAACAACTGAAACCACTGATCAGAGCGGCCAGCCTTCCAAGTCGATTCCGGCCGGCACCGCGAACTCACCGATGCTAAACGCATCACGCACTTCCGGCACCTGGCGGGGATCGTACCCGGGACCTCCCAATCACCAGTACCCTCGAGCCATACAGGATCTGCCATTTCGCTCGCCGCTACCTGGCCCCTTTCCTGTACGACCTGATTTACATGATTTCTTGTGACGATTTTAGAGTTTTGGCTAATGCGCACATGGGCAGTTTCTCGAACTCTAGAATAGAAGAAACACAAAACCAAACTTTTGGGGTAGCAGAGTCGTTATGCGCATGCACGGGTTCGCTAGAACTCCGGAATAATTCGGGGAAGTCACTTTAGAAGTGTAGAATTATTACAACATTTAATATCATGCCATTTCATTTTAATATTACAAATTATTTATTGTGCATTTAAAAAAAACGTTTTCAAATTATTTAATTATATTCATTATATATTTATTTAATTATTTGGAATTCACTAATTCCTGGAATACGGACGGCATTGAAGTAAGAGAGAAGTATGTAAATTCCACACCAAAAGTTAAAACAGAATGCACCCGCACCTGCATGAAATACACAATTTCAAAATGATTCAGAGACAATAGTATACTGCTGGTGTAAGGAGTCGGGTCTAGTTGAGTTTGTATAGTTGAAATATCTAGCGATAAGGATAAAGGTCTGACATATTAGATTTTGAATAAAATGAAATGAAACGAATTGGGCCTAGAAGATATCTTTGGTCCTACAAGCGGCTAGTCGGATTATTAGAAAACTTTTATTGGGAGTTTTAAAAAAAATATTTATGGAGAACGCGTGACGTATAAAATAATGATTGATTAATATTAGTGTAACATAAAACTTAAAGTATTTAAAGTCCAGTTCAGACATTCTATATTCAGATTTCAATTTTTTAGTATAATTGCATATTTATTCCTGTCGTAGACCCTAAATATAGTATAGTTATGACTTGAGAAAGATATGTAAATACGATAATGACATTAGTTACGCTGAACGATACGAAGTTTTCTCTTTAAAATTGAAAAGATGTCCCTCACATTCCACAACCTCATGAAGTACTATTATTTTAGACGGAGTTGATTAAATCTGGAGCAGAGAATATCCGTTCCTGATTCCCACTGGGCTGATCGAACGACTTGATGCAATTAATCTACGCAAAGTTTAATTAAATTGGTTTCTGTGCATTAGCATTTGACCCAATTACTCAACTGGAAAATTTAAAGAATCCCTTTTCAGCAGAATATTGTATTTTTTTTATTTATGTTTTGTTGCTATCTGGAGAGGGGAATCTCCACTTTAACAAAGTAAAATATGCCCACTCTTTGATATAAAATGGTAGAATTTCTGAATTAATTGAAATAATGAGTCATTATTTAATCATAATAAAAACTTTATATGTTGTGTAATAGTAACAAAATTATTTAAGTGTAAATAATTTTTTTAAATATAAATTTTGTGTAATTCTACACAAAAATGAAATATTATTTAAATATTACACATTTTAATATTCTTGTTCATACTCGTTTGAAATAAGTTAAATAAATTTGGCTTTATAATAACTATACTCGTATAATTGCAATATATTTTTGGTTTAATAAAACCAAAAATAAACCTATCTCCAGACTTCTTGAAGCACCAAATTTTCTCGACCTTTATGCTACCCGTCTCCAATTCGTATCAACGCTGAACGAGAATCAACATACCAACGCTTCCTAATGCATTCCATCCCTCTCACAGCCATCCAACGTATATCAACTCATTCCAGAGTCAATACATGATGCTTATTGCTGCATACCGTTTCCTTGAAGAAACAATAATGTCAATTCTGTTAGGTTGAAATCGGTGGCGTACATTCTAGGCTTACTACGAAGCACAACGACGGTTTAATTTTAATAAGAAGAATGCGATACTCTACACAACCAGACCTGTTGCTGATAATTCAGGGGAAACTAGTATCAAGGCTTTGCAAGTTGCGGACGGATGAGAAACGGGTGATTAGGGGTATTGACGAATTTTCACACGAAGGGTCCGAAGGCGATTAAAGTTAGCCACGACAAAGATTACCGATCGCAGAAACAACTTCAACAAAAATATCCCTTGTGGGAAGTCGTGCGTTACTCGGGGTCTCTGTGCCTAACATGCATACTAATAATAATAATAACGACAACAACAATAATAATATTAATAATAATGTGTTTTAAGTATGTTTTTGGTTATTCCGGTTGGCTATTTTCTTAATGGGGGTGAGATGGATGAAGTATTGAATATCAAAGAGGACAATGCAGGATCCAGTCAGGATTCTGGACGGATTGATCCCGCGTGGTCCTGATTGATATCCAATGCATCATCCATCTCACCATGAATAATAATAATAATAATAATAATAATAATAATAATAATAATTTTATTTATTCGTCGAAGTTATGGCTTCTTCAACTACTAACTACAATGATCATTGAGGCTTTGAGTGATAATGTAATAAGTAAATGTTAAAAAAATAATAATCATGGGAGAATGAGAGGCAGGGTAGACGGGAAACCCAGAAAAAACCTACGGGTAGCTCGCTTTGTCCTTCACAAATTCCATACAGATTTACCACAGATTGATCCCGAGATCCACTGGTGGAAGATGTATCCGCTAGCCATCACGCGTCGAGCCCACTAATATCGCGTGACGTTCGGGAGAAGTATACACGATTCCTATTCCTCTGCTCACATTTCACCATCTACTCCATGATATAGCCCAGTTCCTAAACTCAGAAATAGGACAACAGTTAGTTCGTCAAACTGCTAAGCTGTGGCCATAGGGTTGTGGCTCAGTGCAAAGATAAGGAGTCGTGAAAGGCTGCCGTTTAGCGAAGCCTACTGGCGAAGTTAGACCTCAGCAAGAAGTTACACACGTAGGTCTCAGGCGCTTGCTGCGAAGTTCCTAAATTGAAACTTTCGTTCCAACACGATAGCCTCGGCCAATACGAGCCCGGCACAAGAAAACATTTTTGTCGCTCAATAACTACGTGATCTGTCAACGTGAGAGATATTGTTGAGATAGGGCTGCAAATATAGCATCAGCGTCATTTCCTCACTGCTCACAAAGCCGCAGTGCTTCGCTAACGAAGCAATAAAGTCGGCGAGTCGAATGCACAACTCTAACGGCTTGCGCGCAAACTCAGTTCGCAGAACACAGCATCGCTCCGACAGTCGTGACGCATGCAGTTATTTGGCAACACGTACCTCGTGTCGGGCCGGAAAGGAAGCACCAGCAGAGCACGGGGGGGGGGGCGAGTAGGGACACGGGCTGTGCGGTTGACAGGGACGGGAGAGTCAAAGTTGCCCTAGAGCACGGCAGACAGAAGAGGGCCAATTACGGGGCGAAGCAGTTCCGTCAGTCCAATTGGGCTCACTCCACCCGCCCACCACGGTCCGCTCCCGCTGCGCGGAGGGCGCCAGTGCGACAACGCGTCCGCTGCCTGACGAGAATAATTAAATAACGGGTGTTTCGCGCGGCGCCGAGCAGCCCGGCGCTGGACGGCCTTCATAAAGCGTAAATTGATCATAACCGCGCGCCGCCCCTGGGCGCCGCAACCACCGCAGCTCGTGAT